GTAGCAAACACTACGGGAAAAAATAAGACCATAAAAATGTAAGATGGATGATCCTAATTTGTTAAATATAACAAGTATGAGGGCATTTTTTCATGGAAAGTAACTCATGCATTTTGGAGGAAAAACTCCAAAGCATTAATAGTAGTTAAATCAGGGGGATGCAATCACAGGCGAATTTTGAAAATTGTGTTTTCTGAAATTTCTAAGTAGCAAAAATTGTATTTAACGAAAACTAATAAGGCCAGGCACAGTGGCTCACACATGCAACCCTAGCACCTTGGGAGAATCACTTGAGGCCAAGAGTTCAAGACCAGTCTGGGCAACATAGCAAGATGCCATCTCTACAAAAAAATAAGAAAATTAGCTGTCATCGTGGTACATGCCTGTTTTCTTAGCTACTCAGGAAGCCAAGGCAGGGGGATTGCTTGAGACAAGAAGTTCCAGGTGTTGCAGTGAGCTATGACTGCAGCACTGCACTGCAGCCTGGGTGCCAGCTTACAACCCTGTCTCTAAAAAAACCAAAACCCCAAAACCAGTAAGGCTAATATCTTCTATAAGACTTAGAATTCATATTTTCTACTAAAGAATTTCAATACATTTATATCCAAAATCAAATGCTCAAAAAGCTAAGTAAATGGAATACAAAAGGGTCCCAGTTCAAGCTCCTGTAATTCAACATTCAATCCTCTCTGCTGAGTGAGCACACATGTAGTCTGTGGGTAAAATCCTCAGTCTGCTCCCTACTCATTCATGACTCCTTCAAATGGGAAAACAAAGGCTTCAACTTTGTCTTTGAAAATATTTTCTATTGCACAGGTTTCTGTTAAAGTTATTAATAAGCAAAGTACTGACACATGCTACAACATGGATGAACCCTGAAAACATGCTAAGGAAAGAAGCCAGGCATGAAAGGCCACACATTGTCTGATTCCACCCATGAAATATCCAGAATAGGAAAATTTAGAGAGAGAAAATAGATTAGTGGTTGCCAAAGGCTGGTAATAGGGAGAAACAAGGGAGTGGCCAGCAGATAAGTGGTCTGTGTTCTAACAGAAAAATGAGCATGGAAAGGTAAAAATAAGAATCCAAAGACAGGACAAAACTCACTTCCCCAAGAGACCGTGGGAAGACTTCCAGCAACATGGTGACAGCACATTTGAGTCCTAAATGTACAGACACCTAAACAAAGCCTAAGCTGAGGCCAAGATGAAGAGGCAGGGAAGACAGAACAGCCAAGGTGAAGGTGAGAGACCGGACCTGAGGCTACATGTGTAGCCTTGGGCCGATGGCCTGCTTCTAAGTCTTAGGCGCGTGCCAGGCTTACCTTCCCACCTCATGGGGCCACTGAATGTTAAGTGTGTCCAATTTGGGTAAAGGCATGGTAAGGACTATAGCAGTCAAGGACTCAATGTGCAAATGCATTCACTGTGCCAGGCACCCTGCTAGGGGCTAGGGATAAGTAAATATGACACAGATCCTTCTCTCAAGGACAGATGGTGAGAGTTTCTGGCAAATATGTGAGCAACTGCGATACAGAGTGCTGACTGCTACGGCACGGGATAGAACAAGATGCCTTGTCAGCTCACCAAGATCAGTAAGTCAGGGAGGCTTCCCAAAGTGACACCTAAGCTGGGGTAAGAGCTAACCAGGATGACAGGAACAGAACTCGCTCCAAACAGAAACAGGTATTTGTATTTGCAACACTTGGACAGGGCTGGCAAACTATGACCTCATATTCCCCACCCCTTTATATGTTGAGGTGACATTCGTAAAACATAAAATGAACCATTTTAAAGGATATGATTGAATGGCATTTAGGACATTCACAATGTTGTGCAACCAAAACCTCAGCATAGTTCCAAAACATTTTCATCAGCTAGAAGAAATTCCTGTGCCCATTAGTCAGTCGCCAACCCTCTGACCCCAGTCCCCTAGCAGCCACCAATTCTGCCTTCTAGCTCCATAGATTTACTGATTTTAAATATTTCATATAAATGGAATCATAAAATATGAGGCCTTTTGTGCCTCACTTCTTTAACTTAGTAGGGTTTTTGAGGTTTATCCATGTGTAGCATGTATCAGTGCTTCATTTTTAGGGTTGAATAATATCCCACTGTATGAATACACCACAACTTACTTACTCACTCATTTGCTCATGAACATTTGGGCTGTTTCTACCTTTTGGTTATTATAAAAAGTGCTATTATGAACATCTGCGTAAAAGTTTTTGTGTGGATACATTTTCTCTTGGAGAGACACCTAAGAGTGGAACTTCTGGGTCAAATGATAATTCCATGTTTAACTTTTTGAGGAACTGCCAAACTGCTTTCCACAGCATCTGAAAAATTTTATATTCCTAACACTAAGTAGGAAGGTTCCAATTTCTCCACATCATTGCCAACACTTATTTTCCACTTTGTAAAAATTATAACCATCCTCGTGGGTGAAAAGTGGTGCTTTACTGTGGTTTTGAATTGCATTTTCCTAATGGCCAATGATGTCAGGCAAGTCCTTCGTCCATTTTTTAATTGGGTTTACTTTCTGTTGTTGAGTTGTAAGTGTTCTTTGTATATTCTGAATACTAGACCCTTATCAGATACATGATTTTCAAATATTATCTCCCAAGTTGTCTTTTTTTGTGTGTGTGAGACGGAGTCTCACTCTGTTGCCCAGACTAGAGTGCAGTGGTGTGATCACAGCTCACTGCAACCTCCGCCTCCTGGGCTCAAGCGATTCCCCTGCCTCAGCCTCCAGAGTAGCTGGGACTACATGAATGCGCCACCACACCCAGCTAATTTTTTGTATTTTAGTAGAGGTGGGGTTTTCACCATGTCGACCAGGATGGTCTTGCTCTCCTGACCTCATGATCCGCCCACCTTGGCTTCCCAAAGTGCTGGGATTACAGGCGTGAGCCACTGCGCCTGGCCCCACGTTGTCTTTTCACTTTATTGACAATATCTTTTTATGCACAAAAGATTTTAATTCTGATGAAGTCCAAATTATCTATTTTTAAATTTTGTTGCTCAGGCTTTTGGTGCTACTATACATAAGAATCCACGTGAAACCCAAAACTTTCTCCCTATGTTTTCTTCTAGGAGTTTTGTAGTTTTAGCTTCTTCATTGAAGTTTCAGATCTATTTTGAGTTTATGTTTGTACACAGTGTGAGGCAGGTGACCAATTCCATTCTTTTGCATATGGATATTTAGTTGTCCCAGCACCATTTCCTGAAAAGACTACTCTTTCCCCATTGAACACTCTTGACCCTGTCAAAAATCAGTTGGCCACAGTTGTCGGGGTGTATTCCTGGACTTCACATTTTTTTCCCATTGGTCTACATGTCTATTCTTATGCCCATGAGGTGTTTGACTGTTGGTAAATGCACGGGATTTTAAAATTTGTTGGTTTTTAGTTTGTCAGTAAAGCATAAACAAGTAATTAAGGTTTATCATTTCTGTTTTATACTCCTCAAACATAATAATTTCTTTGTCAAGAGGTATAATTCTCATATGGCATAATTTTTTGTTTGTTTTCTTTTGTTTTTGAGACAGAGTTTCACTCTTGTTGCACAGGCTGGAATGCAATGGTGCGACCTTGGCTCACTACAATCTTTGCCTCCCAGGTTCAGGCAATTCTCCTGCCTCAGTCTACCAAATAGCTGGGATTACTCGCACATGCCACCACTGTTGGCTAAGTTTTGTATTTTTAGTAGAGATGGTTGATAGGGGCAGCCTCCCAAAGTGCTGGGATTACAGGCATGAGCCACTGCGCCTGGCCCTTCTAAGAGTTTTGTAGGTTCAGTTCTCACATTTATGTCTGATCGATTTTGAGGTTTTTAGTATTATGAGATAGGGGTCCCATTTAATGCTTCTGCATACAGACATCCAATGTCCAAAAACCTTGTATTGAACAACTATTCTTTTCTTCACTGAACTGTCTTGGCAACCTTGTAAAGATCAATTGACCATAAAGGATACATTTTGATTAGACAAGAGGAATACGTTCAAGTGATCTATTATACAACATAGTAATTACACTTAATAACAATGTGCTGTATACATGAAAATCACCAGGAGTAGATGATGTGTTCTCACCACCAAAGATAAGTATGTGAGATAATGCATAAGTTAATTAGCTCAATTAGGCCATTCTACAATGTATACATTTTTCAAAACGTCATTTTGTACATCATAAATGTATACAATTTTGTCAATTAAAAATTAATGAAATTTTGACCAAGCAAGGTGGCTCATGTCTATAATCCCAGCACTTTGGGAGGCCGAGGCAAGCAGATCACTTGAGGTCAGGAGTTTGAGACCAGCCTGGCCAACATGGTAAAACCCTGTCTCTACTAAAAATATAAAAAGTAGCGAGTGTGGTAGTGTTTGTCTGTCATCCCAGCTACTTGGGAGGCTGAGGCAGGAGAATTGCTTGAACCTGGGAGGCAGAGGTTGCCGTGAGCAGAGATTGTGCCACTGCACTCCAGCTTTTGTGACAGAGCGAGACTCTGTCTCAAAAATAAATAAATAAATAAATAAAATTAAGGAATTTAAAAAAACTATATTTATACTCTACTGATATTATTTTGATTTAGAGAAATATGTTCATACCTTATTAAAAATAAACTGACCAGTGAGACCAGCCTGGCCAACATGGTAAAACCCTGTCTCTACTAAAAATACAAAAAAAAATTAGCCAGGCATGGTGGTGTACACCTGTAATCCCACCTACTCTGGAGGATGAGACAGGAGAATTGCTTGAACCTGGGAGGGGGAGGTTGCATTGAGCTGAGATTTAACCATTGCACTCCAGCCTGGGTGACGAGAGTGAAGACTCCATCTCAAAGAAAAAAAAAAAAAAAGAAATAACCTTGAGTAAATTTAAATTTATTTCTAAGCTGATGCTATGGCTAGGTTTGTATAATTCTAAAATTTTTATTTGGCTTCTGTTCCTTTTAATCAGAACATTAACTTTCATACGCTGTTCACAAACCATTAAAACTGATTTTGAAACTTAACAGAAATCACCAGACACCATTCAAAAGCCATCTTCCCTTTAGAATGGCTGCTGGGATGCTAAGGTTTTTCGTAGCATATCATTATTAAAGGTGATACAAATAAATGGGTTGGGCAAGGTGACTTACACCTGTAATCCCAGAACTTTGAGGTGGGCGGATCACTTGGGGTCAGGAGTTTGAGACCAGCCTGACCAACATGGTGAAACGCCGTCTCTACTAAAAATACAAAAATTAGCTGGGCGTGGTGTCACGCACCTATAGTCCCAGCTATTTGGGAGGCTGAGGCATAAGAATCACTTGAACCTGGAAGGTGAAGGTTGCAGTGAGACGAGTTCATGCCACTGCACTCTAGCCTGGGTGACAAAGTGAGACTCCATCTCAAAAAATAAATAAATAAAAAAGAAAAGAGAAAAGAAAAAGAAAACCTGGCTTTTGGGCACATCACTTTTCTAGAACTCATCTATTTTTTTTTTTTTTTAATTTAGAGATAGGCTGTTATTCTACTGCCCAGGCTGGAGTGCAAATACATGATCAGGGTTCACTGTAACCTTGAACTCCTGAGGTCAAGCAATCCTCCTGCCTGAACTTCTCAGGTAGGCAGGACTACAGGTGCATGCCAGCACACCCAGCTCATTTGTTTGCCATCTATTCTTAAGTTAATACCACATGCTACTTTATTTTATTTTTTTGGGGGACAAGGTCTCACTATGTCACCAAGGCTGGAGTGTAGTGGTGTAACCTTAGTTCACTACAACCTCTGCCTCCCAGGCTCAAGCAATTCTCCCACCTCAGCCTCCTGAGGAGCTGGAACTACAGGCACATGTCACCACACCTGGCTAGTTTTTGCATTTTTTGTAGAGATGGGGTTTTTGCCTTGTTTCCTAGGCTGGTCTTTAACTCCTGAGCTCAGATTATCCACTTTCCTCAGCCTTCCAAAGTGCTGGGATTACAGGCATGAGCCACTGAGCCCAGCCAGTACCAGATTCTCAATCTATGCAAGTTTGTGGCAAGTTTCAAAATTGGGAAGTATAAGTACTCCAACTTTTTGTTTGTTTTAAGGTTGTTTTGGGTATTCTGGGTTCCTTGCAATTCCACATAAATTTTAGGATCATCTTGTCGATTTCTACAAAGAAGCTAGCTGGTATTCCAGTAGAGATTATGTTGAATTTGTAGACCAATTTGAGGAGTACTTCCATCCTAAAAGTATTAAATCTTCCAGTCCATGACCATGGGATATCTTTTGATTGAGATCTTTAATTACTTCCAACCGTGTTTTGTAGTTTTCAGAATATAACTTTTGCACTTTTTAAATTCATGCCACTGCACAGGAACAAAACCATGTAGTCCATTCTGGAGCAGAGACATGTATGAGAAAGGTAAATTTACCTCTAAGCATTTTATTGTTTTTGATGTTATTATAAATGGGATTGCTTGCCTGATTTCATTTTTGGATTGTTCGTTGCAAATGTGTAGGAACACAACTGATGTTTGCATACTGATATTGTATTCTGTAACGTTACTCAATTTGTTTATTAGTTCTAATAGTTTTTTTTTTTTACCAGATTCCTTAGGATTTCCATATATAAGCTTATTTCATCTGCAAATAGAGACAGCTTTAATTCTTCCATTTAAATCTAGATGTCTTTTATGTTTTTCTCACCTAATTGCCCTGGCTAGAATCTCTAGTCCAAAATTGAACAGAAGTAACAAGAGAAGACATCTTTGTCTTGTTTCTGATCCTAGGGGGAAAGCGTTCAGTTTTTCAACATGAAGATGTTGGTTGTATTTGTTGTAGATGCCCTTTATCAGGGTGAGTAAGCCAAAATCTTAGATCTTGTTGCCCTGTATATCTGCAATGCTACTGCCTTCAACTAGTCACACATGCCTCATTTCTTCTGGGAGTTGCAGAAATGGAAGAGATCCTGAAGTGGAAAGAAGTACTCCTTCCCTCTTTGCATATTCTTCATGTTTCTCATACATGTCTCTACTCCAGAATAGGCTACATGATTTTGTTCCTGTTTCTGCCTTTCAACTAGTCTCCTGGCCTCCAGTCTTCATGGCGATCCATCCCCAACATCAATGATAGCATTTTTTTTTCCATTCCACTATGCTGCCAAGAAGGAAAATTGATTACATCACTCTCACTTAAAACCTGCTACAGAATTCCCATTGCCTGCAGTCTGGCCCCCACTCATCTCTCTAAGTCTTGCCCCTCTAGCTGCCTAATGTGCTTACCTATAGGTATCATCCATAGTGGATGACCTCAGACTCCTAGAAAAAGCCATTCTCTTCCATTCCATGCCTTTGCACACGCTGTTTCCTTCCAAAGTGTGGAAGCTAGCATAATGCAGCTTAGATCCTCCTGTGATGTGGGCTCTCTTGACTGAAGGTACTCATGGCTCTCACAGTACTCTCCTCAAACATGTGACAGTTATTTAATTACCAGAATCGTATGGATGCACCTTCCCCACTAGGCTATAGACAGATCATTCACTGGTCATCAGGACTGGATGATTAAGATCTATGTCGCAAGCGCAAACATCAGTAGTCCTCAAGTATCTGGTGACTGAATTAGCCACCAGGAATGAAAAAAGGGAGGACAGAAAGATACTGCTTTCATTATAAAAGAATATGAGTTAGTACCATTCCAGTCAGTCTTTAAAATGCAGTCTAAGGACTACTTCTTATAAATCTATCGGTTCCAAATTACTTTACAAAATTCCTCAACAACCTCTCAAAACAGTGCTAGAAATAGTGTATATAATGAACATCAGTAACGTGCTGGAGTGCAGTAGTTAATGGGCCAAAGGTAAATTATTTGATCCAAGTTCAGACTTCTTTGTAATCTCTGTTTCCCTCAGTTGCAGGTCTACTTTTGCCTTAAACCTATAACCAGCTTCTTTTTTTTTTTTTTTTTTTTTTTTTTTTTGAGACAGAGTCTCACTCTATTGTTCAGGCTGGAGTGCAGTGGTGTAATCTCGGCTCACTGTAACCTCAAACCCCTGACCTCAAGAGATCTGCTTGCCTCTGCCTCCCAGAGTACTGGGATTATAGGCATGAGCCACCACACCTGGCCCTATAACCAACTTCTAATAACTTAACCATTCCACTCTAATGTTGGGCTTTGAAGTTCCATCAGACCAGCCTCTAAAGGCAGCTCAAGGCTTACCTGAGCCGAGATGCCTACGAGGAGCAGCCACTTCTGGTATTCATCAGTCCGGTAGTTAATCACCTGGCAGCCCGCCAGGCTGGTATGTCTGTCAAACATCTTAATGGGCTGGGAGTCTCCTTCCATGCTCCAGTGGTAGACGGCTGTCTCGGTCACTAAGGCAACAGTGTCCACAGAAACCCATTTCCAGAAAATCACCTCTTCTGCCATAGTATGAGCCTTCATTTTATTCTTCATCTCAATATTAAAGATCTGAAGTGTCTTTCCAGCTAGTATTTGATACAATAGAGATTAAAGAAAGATAAATTAAAAATCTGAAAGACAAATTCTTATACTCTTAATTCTGAATTCTTTAATATTACTTTAGGTTGTACCGGTGATCTCATTAACAGGGTCTGAAAGCAGCTGCCGGAGTAGTAATTAACCACACCTTAACGTCTAAATATTGAGGAGAGCCTGTATATGTTGAATTCTTCTTCAGAATATAAAAGTGTGCAAATATTTATAGATATGTTTCTTTTTTCCTTTTTTTTTTGAGATGGAATCTTGCTCTGTCACCCAGGCTGGAGTTTAGTGGCATGATCTTGGCTCACTGCAACCTCTGCCTCCTGGGTTCAAGCGATTCTCCTGTCTCAGCCTCTCAAGTAGGTGGGATTACAGGCGCACACTGCCATGCTTGGCTAACTTTTTGTATTTTAGTAGAGATGGGGTTTCACCGTGTTGCCTGGGCTGGTCTCAAACTCCTGAGCTCAGCCAATCCACCTGCCTCAGCCTCCCAAACTGCTGGGATTATAGGTGTGAGCCACCACACCCAGCAATGTTGGAAATATTCTATATTTGCATCCATCACAGCAGATAATAGCTACATGTGGCTTTAAGCACTTAAGATGTATCTAGCAAGATATTTCAGGAACTGAATTTATGCTTTAACTTTAATTAATCTGAATGTTAAACAGCCCCATACAGCTAATGTTCAATAGGACAGCACAGTTCCAGACAAAAGATGTGGCATCCATTCTCTGGCAAGAGACCCATAATGTTTCTACCTATAGCAATGAACCAAATTTTGATTTTGGAATCTATATGAAATTTAGAGCTAACATAAAATATTAAAATATTGCTTCCCATTAAGATTGGGAACAAGGCAAGGATTATTTCTCTCACCACTTGTTTTAACACTAAGAATAACAAGCATGATAAGGCAAGAAAAATAAAAGGCATAAAAATCAAAAAAGGAAGCAAACCCGTCTTAACTCACAGACAACATAATTATTTACAAAGAAAGTCCTGCGAAATCTACAAATTTACAAAACAAATATTAGAATTAATAGGCGACTACGGGAATGTGGCAAGATGCAAAGTCAACATACAAAAATGTCAATTGAGCTGGGCACAATGGCTCACACCTGTAATCCCAGCCCTTTTGGCAGGCTGGGGCAGGTGGATCTCTTGAGGTCAGGAGTTTGAGACCAGCCTGGTCAACATGGTGAAACCCCATCTCTACTAAAAATACAAAAATTAGCCAGGTGTGGTTGCAGGTGCCTATAATCCCAGCTACTCGAGAGGCTGAGGCAGGAGAATTGCTTGAACCCAGGAGGCAGAGGTTGCAGCGAGCCAAGGTGATGCCACTGCACTCCAGCCTGGGTGACATAGTGAGAATAGGTCTCAAAAAAATCAACTTAATTTTCAGATGCTAGCAGCAAACAATTTGGAAATATAAAAAAGAATTCATAACCCCACCTGAAACACAGCATTTAGGTATAAATTTAACAAAGGGTGAGCAAAGCCTCTACACTATAAAATATTCCTGAAAGAAAATAAAGGCTTAAATAAAAGAAGAGGCATACCATGTTCATGGATCAGAACACTTAAAATAGCTAAGATGTCATTTTCTCCTAAATCATTTACAGGTTCAATGTAATAACAATCAAA